ATAAGAAGTTTTATAGCAATGTGTAGTACTTGCGTAAAACACAATTGTTTTAATAACCTTCCAAACTTTGACCTAATATGAGCCATTTTCAGGTTTTTTATTTCATTGTTTATATTGTCAGCATATTCAATATCAGAGGATCGTCACTTGTTCAAAAAATCCAAACATACACATATACATACAAACATCATAAAATCTATAACAAATTCTCTCTTATAATTCCCGTGTAATTTTGATAGCAAAAGTCCGCCAAATTGTATTAAGTTATACTATCTGACCTAATGGTATATAGAGAGTGGTAATTGGATGGTATTGTGAGCTGCTTCATTCTTAATTAGACAATAACTTTGCTTTAAAACGTTCATTAGTTAAGCAATTTACTAAAGGTAAGTCCACCATACATACAATAAAAGGTAGAACACGCACCCACACACTCCGCTGGTGTAGAATCTAGGTACCGCTGGATCGACAGAGTGAGGGAGGATCGACTGCAGCTGAAAACCAGCAGTTGGCGGGAGGCGGCACAGTACAGGGAGTGCTGAAAGATATGAAATGCAACTAATAATATACTAATAAATGCCCTAAATCTAATCGAGCAGCAATACTCTGAAGTTATCTTACCAAAATAAGATATAGATACAGTGTAAACTTTTTATACCGAATTTCAAGGGACCGAGCGTTATTTTCGCTATAGAGAGTTTTCGTTAAAGGGACGGACGAGAAAAAGAAACCAAGTTTAACCAATTACAATAACTTCTAATTTTATTACTATCAGGTAAATTATTCTAAACACATATATTCTGTTAACTTTGCCTGACGTAATACGCGATAGGTCGTGCGTTTAGTAACTGAGACCAAAATTTCCTATAGGCAATGTAATCTAAGAATTTGGCACACTTGTAATTAACAATAACAAAGGCGGGACGGCTTTTTATGACCTCAGGTGTCTTTCATAGAAATTTCGGCACCTCAAAAGGTTAGTTTTGTGAACTGATAATAAAAACAATTACACTTAAGTATGTTGTTGATGTCTAAATATGAAAATATTTCTTCGTTATAGAGAATGGCTGTTGCGTTATAATGAATTAATGTATGGTTTTTGCGTTAAACCAAACAAATCTAACTTATTTTACGTTATACATAGTTTTTCGTTATAACGAATAACGTTATAGAGAGATTAAAAGATGACGATCATTTTTATAAATAAACTACTGATATAGGCAGATATTACAAAAGCAAGACGAATCTCCGAGGAAGTACCCCGCCATTTAAGTCTCACAAATTTTAAGCATTGTAAATGAGTTGCTAACAAAAGAAATTAATTTAACAATCTCGTAAAAAGGAATAAGCAGTTCATAAAACTTTTGATAATTAAAACTCTAATAAAAATAAGAGATGCCCACTGGATAAAACCATTTCTGTGAGACTCGTACTTGTTTTCCGTTGTATAGTATTAAATGGAATTTCGTAGCTCGTAGGAGCTCTCACTTAATTGGTCACGGCAAAGCCATTTCCATGGATAAATCCCTCGAGGGTGAAAAACTGAAAGTGTCGTTAACTCATCTCATCGAATTATTCAACTGTTAAGCATTTAAACAACACATTATACATTTCTTTTTTTGCAGCAATGTTTTTGAAGTGAAACTTCTTTATCGGCGTTGGAAAAAAAATTACGTTACGCGCCATCTTTTTCTTGTCCTGCGATTTCGGATCCAGTTTATTGATTAGTTGCAAGATTTGTTGTTTGTGAAGTTTGCCTACCTCTTCTATTATGTTTAGTTATAAATAGAAATTATGCTTTTCAATCATTACTATTTATGTCAAAAACCGTGTAGTGCGTTCATAAAATGTATAAAATTTATATTAAAAACAAAAATATATAATAACGATAACAATGTTAGTAATAATTATATTACAATTAATGAAATTCTGTTATAATCTTAGTAGTAATAAGGTAGAATGAAATAATTGTATTATTTGTATTATATTTATTTATTCTATTCTATCTATGTCTATGATAATAAGAGCCTTTTTTTAAACTTTATCTAAGTTAACTTTATTTAACCAAATTTTTTCGTAAAATAAGGTCATAAAGAAGTTTCACTTCTTACGGGTGTACACTAGTACACGCATACATTTTTTTAAAGTATATAGCACAAAAATAAATTGTAATTTACAACTTAAGATTCTTAATTTAAATTAATATATAGTAGTTGGACTGAATATCAACTTGAAAATACTGTAAGGGTTTATGTATACCACACACTTTGTATAGCGACAGTGTGTAGCGTACAATTGGTAGCGCCGGTCGTTCTTCGCGCGGAATAAAATATTTGCTACTGATTATGTTTAGTTTCCTACACACTCCTTAACTAGGTGGCTGGTCTCAGGCACACCTAAAAGACTTTTATCGAAAGGTACACCTTACCTTTTCTATGTAAGCATTTAACATTCGCTCGAACGGTGAAGGAAAACATCGTGAAGAATCCGGCTTGCCTGAGGCCCACAAAGTCAACGCCGTGTGTCTGACATAGAAGGCTGATCATCTACTTGCCTATTAGATTGACAAATGATCATTAAACAAATACAGAAATCTGAAGCCGACCAAAAAAAGTTATAGCGCCACTGATTTTTTTTATTGCCTAAGCCAAACAGGTTTATTTTTAAATTAAAAAAAAAATATTTTAAGAAAGTAAATCTGCTTTAAAATCTATAAATGTCTAGTCAATACAACAATTTTAATATACGAAATAAAACCTTTTTTATTATAAATGAACGGTTAAAACGTTTCACAAATCATTGCAGTAATATGCTGTTGCGTACTGCTCTTTAATTATGAAACATTAATAAAGTTTAGAATCAAGGTTAAGTAAAAATAACCATACAACAATAAATTCGATCAGAGAATAAACGGAATCATCAAATCTGTCGCGTCTATAGGCAATTTTCAATCTCTTTTCCATTTATGGCAGTAATAAAGCGACCGGGAAAAGTCAACAATCAATTTTGTATTTCAATTTATTCCCAACCATCTTAGTTCGTGCGGTGATAAGAAAAAGAAAAACGCGATCATTGAAAACGGAAATTATTGCAAGAAGCCATCATTGGTGTGCGCTCGGCGTCCCATGTTTCCTTTATTTATATTGTGGACAAATTCTTGTATTTTTAAATTTAGAACTAATAGTAACATAGTCTACGTTATATTATTACACATTGTACCCAGTTTGTTACCATGGTTACTATTTTATACAAAAAATACACCATTACAAACAGTACTATGCTAAGTCTACGATTTTAAAACTAAATTAGTTAAGAGATAGTTAAAAATGCTGCAATTTTTATATTATATTATATATTACAAAAAAAATTTAACGACAAGACCAAACGATGTTCAAAAAAATATTTATTTTTAAACCGAATAAAGTTAAAATTAGAAATTATTTTTATAATATTTTATGCTGTTCGAATCTAATATTCGAAAATAAAATAATTACGTTTTTCATTATAAGGATATTAACTTGCCAGTGCAACAAAACAATTTGTCTTTATTAATACACTTCACTCTAAGCGCGGGAAACACACTAGTCAAATTTGATGTGTCAAGTCAATTTTACATTCTTGACAGATAATCGTCAAAACAATTGGCTTTTTTTCTTCTTATAGCATAAAAAAACTGCTGCTGGATGTATGTATTTTTTTGCAAATATGTTTGTAGTAATTTTTTACCTTGCACATTAATTGTTTGCTACTTAAGTTAAATATGGCAAAGATAATAATTCTATCAGAGTGCGTTATACTTACAAAGGGCGGGTAACTCGGTTCTCTTCTTACACCTCCGTAACGCACATGCTTTATTTTGCCTAATAATAAATGCCATGCCATGGTATAAGTCTACTGCCAATGCTTTTTCTTTATTTATAAAGTCTATGGAATGAAATGTCAATGTCAATGCCTTATTGGACACATGACATTGACAATGTTTAATAGTCTGTGCCTATGACCCTGAATACATTAATAGAAGATTACGAGTCAATTATTATTCTTAAAAATCTTTAGTTTCCATTAATATGAAACGATGTTGTGTCTATTTTACCGTTAAATATAAAACTAACCTAGGAAAAGATCAAAATAACTCCATCGTTACAAGGGACTTATGTAAATAAAACCAGTAAGTTTAAAACAATGTTTTTAATCTACTTCTTTGGTCATATCATTGGTTAAAGGTGAACCTGACATGTTTATTTACAGAAACTATTCACATAAGAATACTCTTTATTAATTAGGAATGCATATTTGCCTAATTAAATGCGGAAACAGGTATATCAAGCCATTAATATTACTAAGTAACTAATTTGAACTATATTGAATAAACATGTTGCATTTTACTATATATTATACACCAATTATCGACTACGTATTAATATTTACATAAATAAAACATTATAACAATGTTTTGTAAACTTAACAGTTATAATACAATTATACAAATAATAACGAATGAGCGTGAAAAACATAATATTGGCCAAGCCACTGAAATTAGTCGAAATTAATTTAGTTTTTATATTCTTAAACTAGTTAGTGACTAAAATTCATTGAATCATAGCGATATAGCAACTCTTAAAACCTTATTCGTCGCTTTTCAGCACAGTATCATCACAATATGATGGAAAGAGACAAATATCCTTTAAGTGAGTAATAACACTGATTCAGTTTTAATGAATAAGCGTCATTTTTACACGTCATAACAGTAATTCCCGCTCTCCAACTTTCCCGTAACATTTATTCTAATACAATTGCCTTATGAGATCACCTTATAACATACTAAATACATTTAACCATAAATTCTATCTATTGGCAAAATAAAATACGTTTGGCATTGTTACCACGAAAAGTTTCGACACGACACAAATGTTTTGTCACAATTCATTGCTGGTTTTCTTTGGGTGTTTCAGTTAGTTTGGGTACTTGGCATACGGGTGTAAGCCTCAGACGCGATAGTCTCAGCTGGTCGCTGAGAGTCCCAGAGGTTTGAGGTGTGGGGGAGCCTGGAAGGGGGCTGGAGAGGAGCCTGACATGTTGTTGTTGAGGTCTCCAGCTCGGCTTGAACCGTTTATCAATCCGCCCATTGCACTGCTCGTCTGTTGTAAAATATGCTTATTAGTATAATACTTAATATAAAATGTGTAAAGTTAGTACGATATTTGTTTCCATGGTTACAATTTTTTTAATAAAAAATACATCGTAAGCACACTACGATATTTTATCCCCGGTTTGTAAGGCTGTTTTTTTTCTTTGCAAGCGTTAAATAAATAACATATAATTAAAAACACACAATTTTAATTTAACAAAAAGCTAAAAAAATCTGAAAATGTTATCTTAATTGTTTAGTATAAATAAAACAACTAATTAATAAAATTAATATTTTCTACAGGATTAAAAATTAAAGGGTTTTATTATTTTACATCACAAATATGCTTACCGGTGGTGGTGGAAGATGCGTTGTCTGCCGTTTCAGATGAGCTAGGGGTGGGGGGTTGTAAGCCATATTCGCGAAGACTAGCCTCTCTTCATAGTCATATTCACACAGAATTTTATTCTCGCAGAGGTAAAATCTATCGCCCACACAGAACCTAGAACAACATATCTATATTTAGAAATACTTCAAAAATGTCAATATAAACACAAAAATGCTAATTTTCTAAGTTATTTATTAATTTAAAAAAATGTGTTAAAAAGCAGCAAAAGAATTTTGCTTAAAAGGAATTTTTATATTTTTATACGTTGAAAATACATTCAAATTTTATACGTTTTTACAAATATCCGAAGGGTATAAAAATTTAAGGGTTGTAAAAACCATTAAGATGTTATCAAATCTTATCATTGTTTTACGGTGCCACAAAACAACGTAAAACGTCTTGGAAATAAAATTTACCGTAACAGTAGTAGAGGTCAACGCGAAGAAGGAGCGATAACGTCACGCAAAAGCATCCTTCAATGTGGCAAACAAAGCCTCCGACTCAGTCGCCAGTGGCCGGCCAACTTCCGGTGATAGCACCCTTATCTACCTCCCCTCCGTCTTTCCGCACCCACCCACTCTTTTGTTTCACTTGTCACAAAAATTAAGCGCAATACCTCGGCTACAAATGCCTCTTTTTTAAAGGGCCAATTTCCACCGCAACTCAGTCGATTTCGCCGCTCTTAATTAACTTTATTTCCTGTTCTCTCCACTCCCGACTTTTGTTTTTTGGGGGCTGTTCTTATTTTGCTATTTTTTGTCTGCTGTCGCGTAATGGAAAAGATGTAGAACGAAATCATTTTAATGAGTGGGTGCGCGCTTTGTTCGCGCCCCCTTTTGACGCCGTAAAGTTTGACGTGTAATCGGACGTATCTTAACATTGGACATCGTAACAAATCTCTTTGAAAATCATGCTCTACGAAGCTATTACTTTAACATGAAACATTTGAAATTCTAAAATTCATATAGGTAACAAAATGTACACTTATGAACGTCAAAAAATAAATATGAAATGCTTCTAAAATTACATTTACTGCCAGTTCTCAAATCAAGGGCGTAGAACGGAAGAGAAGAACTGGCAATAAACTCGTCCGCCACTGTTTAGTTAAATATTCAATACAAACTTTAAAAGTGTGAAAATAATCAACCTTTATATGTACAATCTCACGTTAAAGTAAATCCAATTAGAAATTATTTGGACGTAGCACCTATCAAGTAATACGATATAGATAAACGTCACTTCATCGGACGCAGCGCAGTAGTGAAGTCCGATAGCGGAATCCGCCCGCGGCGCCGTCAGATTGCTACTAAATTATTTAGCCGTTTAGCGATATTCCGAGATACCTGCCGGCCGGTCGGACAGCCCGCAAATTGGATTCAGATTTCAGCTATCCGTCGAAATAGTAATATTAATACATCTGTATTGTTAAACAAACAGATGCTGCAATATCAACGAATCCTATGTATTTTATGCACCAATATATCTAATAAATGAGTCGTAAATTAAAAGCAGCCTTAGTGTATAGTATTGGAAGAGGCCTATACTCAATAAGAGGTCCTTGAAAAAAAATATATATACATATATATTTTATGTGTGTGTATATTTTAGTAAATTTTTCAAGGAATAAATGAGGCTTAGTTATTATTATTATTATTAAAGTATACTAAAAATAGTGCTAAGCGTAATTAAAGCCAAGACTGGGTTATTTTACGATTGATTTTTTTAATAGCCTATATACTGGATTACCAAAAAGAGTCATTGCAGCCCATGGGCACTCTTTTTACCTGTAAGTTGGCGGCCTTTGAGGAAGGAGTTCCTTAATTTTTTTTTAAACTGTTGAAGGTCGTATCCCAGGGAAAACCCTTATCGGGTGTAGATTCGCAAAATAAAATGTATTATTAATTGTACACAGCTCTCTGAGTCTTTCACTCTAACCTTATGATGTTTTACTTTATAAAAAAAAGTTAATTGCGCTCATATAAAATAAATCAGTGCGTAACAAACACACTACCTAGGCACAAGCCTTAAATAGGCTTTATTGAGTTTATTGTGTGTACAAAGTTAACAAGAATTGGCCAATTACGTTTTTACATTAACACTAATCCGGTCAAACGTCCCAGCTAAGTCCTCCCAAAAGATTTGACCCAATATTGTGTGTAACATTAAAATGAATACACAATTCGGTGTTGTCACTCGAGATCTGAACGGGGGAAAGGTCCACCAGTGACGTATAAACCATTCAGAGGAGCCAATCTTCGCGACTTTTCTATTATTTAAGCAACACAAGTGAGGATTGAGGCTTCATCTTATATTCAATGTGCGAAGGAAAATTGAATTCGACAATTGATCAATTAAACATCTGTACTGCTTTATATTTTACAGCTTTATAAAGGATTACTAAATATGGCCTGTTCGTATAAAATTATTTCATCATGAATAAATAAAATTCCTTTTTATGGTTCTTCAAGAGTTACCTCGTATTTAACACATGGAATGCTGTTGTTTAGTACGTATTTTATTATTGTAGGTATAGATATTTATTAATAATCATAACAATCAAATATACAGTATTTATAATAATAAAAATAATTAAAAATTAATAAAAAGAAAATTCAAACAAATTTAAAAGTTTGGTCCCTGTGGCAGTGTACTTTTAACTTTGGCAGCATTTCCTCGCTGTATTGCGATACTTATTCGTTGAGCGAGGAAAGCACCAGCTCTGGGGACACTGGTACCATCTACCAGGCGCCAACTTAAATCTTTAATTAGCGCCTGTGCACTTGAACCCCACAGCCCAAGCGTCTCTACTCCAAAGGGAACAAAATCGAAGTTGGAGGAAGGACTCTTATATTTAAGCCGTATATTAATTAGTTTTTTTTATATATAATAATAAATATATAAAAAATATAATATAAAAATATAAAAAATATAATAGGGGGGATAAGTGAGCCTACGGGACGTCCATAAAGGGCAGTCATCGCAGCCCATTTTTAGTGGGTGCGTTGCCGGCCTTTGAGGGAGGAGTACACTAGTTTAAATAATTTGTAATTTTAGGCAAATGATAAGTTAATTCACCGAAATATATTAATTATGCGCGAATAACATTGTACGTACCTAAAACCTGAAATCTTTTGGGAACGGAAGAAAATTTACATTTGTTTTCTGAAAAAATGCAAAAAAAGTTAATAAATTTGTTAAATGTTTTTATAATAACTATAATCAAAGGACTTTTAATACCTATTTAAAGTTCATACAATGTTTATGAATAAGAGAGGAAATGTGGTTGCGTTAAAGTTTGGCGGTTTAAAAAAAAGTAATTTCCCTTTTATTTCTAAATCATAAAGTGATTGGTTCCCAAAAGATTTCGGGTATAACATCCTAGGGAATATTAAGCGTAGTTTATTGGTTCATAGTGACTAGACTCGTATCGATAACTTCATAAGTTCACTCTTTGAGCTCGACAGATCATCGCTCACGTTTGATAACCGGGCTACGTTGGGAAATCAAAGAGTTTATCTTTGTTTACCAATAATGTTCACCTATGTACACTACAATCTCGCTTCAAGATCAATGCCTTCAAAATATCATTAAAAAATAATTGGTAAATAATTACGGATATATAATGTTATATGTCTTAAAAATAACGCAGTTACAGTAACGTTAGAACGTAAAAAAAGTCAAATCAAAAATCTAATGTAACATATTTTTCAAAAAATCTACAAAATACTCAAACATTTTCCCGCTACTAACTATTCATTAACCTGTTAATTTGAATTCATTTCGAGGTTTGAGCAGTATTGAAAGAAAAATGTTTACGTTAGCTAATAGATAACATAAACAATAAATCCCCTCATCCAAAATGATTTACACTAAACAATTGCAAGTGTTTAAAAACCGTTTCTCTATTCCGTGAGCTTTCTTATGTAGCGGAAAATTTGATCACGCTCTTTGTTTCTCCGTGAGTTGAATAAACCATACAACGTTCCCGCAACACAATACACCTGTCCCTTTCGTTCATCACATTATTCTGAATATTTTATCTCGCTTATAAAATTGCTAGTTGCTCAAGCGACCGTTCAATTTTCAGGAGCGCAATCGCTTTTGACAGGTGAGAAAATTAAGTGTGCTACGTAAAGCCAGTAGCAACAATGGGCGCGATGCTCTTATAGTTTTTCATGAAGCGTAGTGACACTAAAAAGGCGCCTTTAATAAAATATACTTTGATATAATATTCTATATTGTAATGAAGATAATTTAACCGAACAAATGTCGCCTGTTGTAAAAAATGATTTTATAAGCGATAACGCCGCGTTTGCGTTATCAAATTCTATGTTTATAAATGTATTTAAGAAAAATGGGCTTTAGTTAGACTATGTGAGATTTTCCATAGTTTTATTATTTATTATTGTTATTTGAGATTTTTTTGTAAGTAGTTTTTGGGGGCAAAAAATTCAAATTCTTTATAATAATAACACCTATTTTATACATTGCAAGTGAGTTTAACCATACTTATTGGTTGCTAAATCGCGGAACTTCTTAAATGCTTGGCAGTACAAGGTGGAATAACTAAAAGGCATCAAACATAAAATAATACCAACCTGTGATTACATTGCTGACAGGCGAAACATTCGAGGTGGTAGACATTGTTGCGCGCACGCATCACCATCTCAAAAGCTGGAATAACTTTATTGCACGCAGCGCAGTATCCAGTGTTTCCAAATAACCTGGTATAAATAATTTATTTTATTAATTACGTTTTAAACAAAAATACTGACTTTCGATAGACGCATTTATTTCAAAGTAATAAATTTGTCATCCCAATTATCCCTGACCTCTGGAGCTCAGTTAATAATACTAATAGTAAATAAAACCTAATGTATTTCAGATTCATTTTCCCTGTAGTAGGTCTCTTGTTCCTGAGTGTTGCTCCCCGGCTGGACAAAATTATTCTATGTACGCACTCTAACTTATATTACTGAAGGAACATCGTGATCCCCGGCTGTCGCACATCAAGAATACGATATATCTACTACCCACACTTGTCTTTGAAAAAAAGTCAACGAATTATCTGGGGCCAAATCCATCGTGAGTTGTAACGCCACGGCATTGATTATAATTACTGTTTAAAAAATGTCGGGCGATGGCTGACATGTGTCATACTCGTGAACGAGCTACTTGCTGGTGTCTGATCACTCCTACGAGAATGTAAGTGCGTGCTCCCATTTCCCCCCCCCCCCCTCTTTTTGAGGAAACCCCTGTACGTGTCTTTAAAATAAAAATTTTCAATAACAGATGCAATCTGAGGCGATTACAAGAGATCCATGTGGCAGTTCTTCTTTCCGTGCCCTTGTTTGAGAACTGGCACTTAATGTAAAGCTAGAAGCATTTCATTAAAATTCTTTGTTGACGATTAGATAATAATGTTGTAATTGAATACATAGTGTACTTATTACCTTATAAATGGTTTTTGAATTTTTTGAATTACTTATTACCTAATAGCCCGTTTTTTGTTTATATTTTCTTCCAATAGTAATCTCACCTTAAGTAATCCCTCTTGCACAGTATAAGATTAGCTCTAGTATAGAGCGTGTGCCCGACTTCGCCAAGTCTACAGTCGCAGCAGCCGCACTTCAAACAGTCCTCATGCCACAACTGGTCCAACGCCTTGAGAAGATATCTCTCAGTAATCACTTTGTTACATCCCGCGCAGATCTAATAAAAAATATATGCATTTGAGATATTATTGTACAATAAATGGCAGAGACTTGTCGACTTGTCAATCAAATGAGGCTTTTGACAGTTCTTGTAATCTAAGGCTTTAATGTTATTATTATTATGTAGAGTAGTGTTGTCCTAGTGGCTTTAGCGTGCGACTCTCATCCCTGAGGTCGTAGGTTCGATCCCCGGCTGTGCACCGATGAACTTTCTTTCTATTTAACATTCGCTCGAACGGTGACGGAAAACATCAGGAAGCCATATTTGGGAGAAAGTTATTTAAGGAATTTGTATTATACTCCAATTTTAAAGAACCACCTCACAAATCTCACTTTAAATTAAGCTTCTTAATTCCTGGAACATTACAGTGGCCAGTGAGGATTTTATAGGTTTCAATGAGATTTCCTCTTAATCGCCTACTTCCCAAATCAGTAAGATCAATTTATTTCAGACGCTCATAATAAGGTTTGTTCCTAAGTGCTCTGACCATTTAGTTTAATAAAGTACCTGTGGTTGAGGTGGTTGCGTCGACGCAGCCGTGCCACCCTGTGCATTAGCAGGGAGGGGTGACGCTCGGGCCTCCTTCGTGACATCCATGGCAAGCATTTGACCGCCCAGCCCGGGGCTCCCGCGCCCGCTTAACTGTTGCGGCGTACGCCTCTCGCACTATAACAAGAAAGTATATATTATTGTTGCATACGAGATAATGTTAAGGTGATATCTTGTTTAGTAGTGTTAGTGTAAGGAATTGCTATAATTGCCGGTACGATAGCAAGAACTATAGATGCCGGGAAAGTTCACGCATGAATGTATGTCCAAACTCTTGGCGACTGCGTGTTGAAAACTTTACTTGATTCGTTTTGACTAAATGAAAAAAAATATTCTTAAATTTTTGTTTTTTTGGTAAGACTTCGCGCGAGCGAAGTTTCTCTAAATCCAATGTATTTTTGACATAACATTTTTCAAAGAACGCAACGTCTCGACTCCATATTAAGTATTCTTGAATTAAGCGATAAACAAATTTGTTAATACACTAATTTTAACACGCAATAATCACATTTTATATCGTGTTATAATTTCGTTTAAAATAGTGTCAATGCCTCTCAAAAACCATTTTACAGATTAAATATCGTGATAAAAAGCGTAATTTAGAAGTCAAAAAACATAACCGCGACAGGCAATAAAGTCGCGAACGGACGGCGTCATGGTTAATTAACACTTTAAATACGAAATTTTTCAATTAAATTACGCTGTAACAGGTGCAACTATTTAATTATAGCAACCCTTGCCAGTTTGATTTTCAACATATGTTTTATATTTCCATTTCCGCGAATTAATTAATAATTGGATCAAATACATTGAAACAACACAGCTTTGCATATGACACAATTAAAATAACTTTTGTTTGTATATGATTGAGATACGATACAATGGAATACGTACAAGACATAATTTAAGGTGTTATATAATACAATTTTTACTTGTATACACGATACTATGTCAATTCATAACTAATACAAAATCAATCATTCCAAAGTTCGAACATTACACGAACTTATATACATATTTCTAAGGCTTTGGTCCTAATAGGCTTTCGGAGAGCTTTTAGAGAATAATTATTTTATAATACATTTCTTATTACAACCCATCCAACCAGCTATCTAATGAAGTATTTCCAAATCGACTCAGGGCTCTTCAAGGAGCCTACAAATTCTTAAAAGCGCGAACTCGGGATCCCTCTGTCATTTAGCATCTCTCCTGCCCGTTTTATATATATATTGAATAGGGCAAACTGTTCTATATAAAAACAAATTATTAATTATTCGTACTAAGGTTGGTAGTAGAACATATACCTTCTTAAATTCTCTATTTTTTTTCACAGTAGTGTTTGTATAGATCGACGAGTAAACCTCCGCCAACACAATATGCAGCATTGTCCGTGACGAATGTCCGCTTACCATTTTTGTATGTTTTTGAGAACGTATCGCCGGTCGTAAATAATGAACACGGATATTGAACGGAAACACGCTGGTCTACTCAAATTGTGTCAGCGATTCACTGAAACTAATCAGGCTTATATTGAATGACAAGTATTTCGAAAATTCAAATAGTTTCGTTATAGGTGTCATGGAAAATTACTTACGCGCCTAATTATGGCTGCTTGCGTATTATGCAACCATATTTTTTTCTTGTTTATTATTATGTTCATTTGTAATATATTTTAGTTATTATATTATATTTTTTAGTTTTAGGTTCAATAAGATAGGGTATTTAGTGTTTTAATTTTAAATATATTTTAAATTAAAGGTTTATTATATATTTGTAAGTTACGTCAGTGTATGTTTTAACTAGATAATATTATATGTTCAAAGAGTTCTAACATCATTCAATTACCCGTTAGTACACAAATCAGTGACAGGCGTAGTTCTTGTGTAATTGAGATGGCAACAAATTTCACGGCCAGAACATTTTTTTAAAGATAGCCATGAACCATCGTGAATAATTACAACGGAACGGTGACAGCAACATGCTACGGCACTTCGAAAACAACCCGTAACGAACGCGAGATCAGATTAGGCACAAAAAAGCTCACGGCTTCCATTAGCATTGACTTTCGAATGTCAATACGCACGAATTAGTATTTAACGGACGGCCCTGAAAGAGAACAAAACTATCTCCACCGTTCCACGTCAGTGTCACTCAACAAGATACACCAAGAGTTGGAAGTATAGCGCCAACGTAAAATATTTATGTGAGGAATCATCGTTTTTACTGCGATATTTGTGAGACATACTCGTTTCGGCTTCGAACGTAATTTTTAAAATATTTTGGAAATAAATTTAGCCTATGTTATTCAGGGATAATTTAGCATTCTTATGATGAAAGTCTATCTGATACCTAATCCGCTGTTTTGCTAGTATATATTTGCTTAACAATAAGCAAAAAATACTACTAAAATCAAATCTGGACGTGAAATATTTTATTATATTTTTATAACTTAATTTTTTTGTAAGATTTATGTTTACCATAATTGTCATATATTTTAGGAAAAAAGTTTGTAACATATACTGTAGATATAGCATTATGTATGATGTGGTGAACTTTTTTATAATGTTGAGATAAATAAGAGATCAAAATGCCCGTAGCTTTCTCGTAAATGTTCACTACTTTGATGAGTGAAGTCTCGCATTCCTACCTATCAACCAAATTAAGCTGTTACGTATAGAGAATTAGAAGCTTTAGTATTTTGAATAAAGAACTCGGTTCCCATCAATTACACACGCAAAATAGTCTAAACGTTGGTCTGAGTTACAGACATAAGCTAATGAAGGATGCTGCACGGGCCACAAGGGAGCTGAGCTCAGCCGGCCACCGATATTAATGATTAACAGACACGGTCCGAGACCAATTACGCGCTACCGCCACACTCCAAATTAGAAACTATTTTCGCCCATTAGTGGCCAACTTCATAATCAATTATACGTTAAAATTTCACAACGCTGTTTGGGAGCTCTCTGTTTGGATAATCGGAGTTTGTGGTCCCTCGGTGAGCTATTACGCGGCACAACGGGTCATAAAGGTTTTTGTTTCGGAAAATTTTAATGCACAAATGCAGTTAACTGCATTAAAATAAAACGTTACGCTTCGATAAATAAATGCTATTGGGAGACATAAATTTCGATTGGGATAATTACATTGCCCAAACAATGGTGTTTGAGACGAGAGTTAATAGAATTGAGTGCACTCTGCTAATCATAATTCATCAGCGAGATTAAAGAATGAGCGAGGCGAGGGAGGCAGCACCCTCGGAAACAATATGATTGCCACACCTGCGGAAATAGCGGGAATAACGGGACGAGCTAAATAATTCTAACAACTGCCATTACCTTAAACTGTGCTCTACCTCATTTCTATAACGCCTGCACCAATATCTGTAATGTGGATTGCGCTAAAATAACCTCTGCTCTTTATATCTTACATATGTCGTAGATAATAAAAATAAAATAAGGCGACCATAAACTAAATTCAAAATAAAACTTGAATAGCTATACTACATAATAAATATTAAATATTTTGTTGCTAGCTAATAACATATAGATAAAAAGTAAAGTTTTATTTGACATTGTCACATTCGAATAAAAAGATTCCATTTTCGAGTCAATTAATTTTTTAGATATAATATTTCTAACAATTTTTATTATTTTGTATAACTTTTAATAAATTATAACAAATGTAAACTCAAACGATCAAAACTAAAGATCCTAGTAGAGCATACACCGTCTAAGTACAGCGGCACTTATTTAGCAGATTGCTTTCCTTTAAGTTGTTCTTTAATCTTGCGCTGACGCTTTCGCACCCCTGTCTCGTCTGCATTCAAAGCTATATTTGTACCACGTGTACAAACCTTTATAATTACCCATTGTCTTCACCATATTACACGTTTCACGGAAATCATTATTCGTTTATCGTTAATGTCGTATCGGATTACCGGTATCGCCCGGCTGGCGCAATAATATAACGAAATTCAAACATTAATAGGTTCAAACACAATCACGGATGGCTGCATAATCAAGTTAGCTGCTATTCGGCTAAACCCCTATCGCGTAATCTGCCCTATTGTCTGACAGTCGTTGCTCTGATCATGAGGGCCGATCATTGTGGCAATTTCGTGTTTATTGTTTTCAGGTGTCTCCTGTCACCCGGCCACCTCAAGGAGGACAATGCGGTCCCACAAACGCCAACATTGACAATTCACTAGAATTGGAGAATAATAGTTTATGAATTGTTTAGCTTTACGCTTATTTACAAGAGAGGAATGTTAATGGAATGTTTGTTAGATTAATCTATGAATGGAAAAGTGCATTTACTTTGTAGACGTAATTGTTTATGATTAATAATTGGTATTTCCCGTTTCCATGCGAACGAAATATAAAAGATAAAAGTTAGTAGAAAAAAAAATACTACATAAAAATCCGGGCAATTTTATCTTACAACACAGATGATTTCTTCTGAATAATTCTTATTGTTTTAGAACTGATCTTCAACGAGACATACATCTATTGATATTTCAAATGAATATCACAAACTTTGAGACTAGAAAATGCAGTAAACAGCCCCTGAGGCTAAACTCCACGTCCAGAAACTTTCCTCAGAACTAGAAACAAATAGAGTCAGTGTCAAAACTGCCAAAACAAAACTATAAAGTTTGCTTTATAACCGGTAGATATCCTTCTATTTAAGATGATACTTTATCATACAAATGGTTTGGTTTTAGAGTAAGGATGAGATTCTCGACTCTAAAGTCTTCTTATCATCGGATATGCATATATGTATATTTTTTGTGTGCAATTATCACACTTGGGAAGGAAAAACCGAGACAACCACTATTCAAAAAATGCCGCCTTGTTCATACATTTAATTTTATTGACTTGTATATGTATGTATGGCACCTAAGCCAGCAGTATCCCATTGCATATAACATTACTTCTATTGTATTCTTCCAACGAAACAGAATCTTCTTTTTCCTCTTCGTAGTCTTTATTACTGAAGGTCGTGTCTAGCCCTAACCGATACGTCGACTTGCTGCCTACACACCACTTCATCAGCATGTCTCAGGGCATTAGGGTTGTTGAGACCCATAATTGTCTTAATTTGGTCAAACCAATGGATAGGCGATCGACCCCGACATCTCCTGCCATCACTCTTTCATACCCATGCGTCGAGACTGGCCAGCTCTCTCCTGGCAATATGGCCAAAGTAGCTAAGCACCCGTTTGTAAATGATAATTGAGAGTCCTGAGGTGATCTTTATTTGGTTCAGAATAGATATTGACCTCCAAATCTAGGACAACTCTATGTACATTACACCATATAGTGAATTCTGTATACTAGGTATAATTCTAATTGCTAATTAATTCCGTTACTGCCATATAATTTGTATTAATGAGAGTTAATACAAAAATTGTTCCAATTGCTTTAAGTGTTTCATTAATCAAAGTGAGCGAAGCGATACCGTATCAAGTATATACTTGGGCATACACTATTTATTAGTGTCATTAAGCTAATTAAGTTTTTAATAATTAAGTATGTAATGGTGAAATTCTCCAATCAATTCATTAAGGATACTGGATACGTATACTAAATATAAATAATTAAAGATATAGAAAAAACATCATTTTACTTTAACAATGCAATAGATTTTTAATACCAATTAGAAATAATACTGAAGTTATTTTCATTTTAAAAAAACAAAACTTCATTCGATAATTTTTCAACCAAAATGTATTTTTTTGTTACTGAAATATATATGTCCATAAATCTTTTAAAATTTAATATTTTGTTTACCTCAAGTACGACTCTAAATTTGACAGTGTCACCTCTTTTATTCATTATTAAAAATGGTCGCTTTTTGAAAAACAACAAGTTATAATTGTAAAACTCATTACAAAAGTAACATGAAAACGCTCACAAACTTCACCAAATTTTCAGCCGAGAAAGTGCACCTAATTTCAACCATTCAAAGCGTCAAAAAATTTTAAGAAATGGGTTAATTATGGATAATAAGAATCTTTTGCTCAACGTACCGGTCTTCCCTTGAAAACATTGCTGCTGACTGCTTAAACAGAGTGTCGCCGAATACCCAAAACATCAATTCGACCAGCAAATTTTGATAAAGACCTTCATCAAATTTACAATTCACTTAACTCAGAAGCTCAAACCAGCAGCCAAGGAAAGCACCGGCAATTTTCTCAATATAATAAAAGGAAGCATCCAATTTTTCAAAAAGTCATTTTCTCCGATGAACAGAAACATTATCTCACGAAATTCTGATGTCAACTGGCCACCAAGATCGTGCGATTTAACGCCGTGCATTTTTGTTTGGGTTTTTGAAATCTCGAGTTTATGCGAATAAACCCGAAAGCATTCCTAGCTCAAATCAAATCCAATCATCTAATACAGCC